GTTTTGTTGATTGGCTGACCTTGTCCTCACGAGAGGCGCCATCACGACCGGGTTGGGATTTTGAGTCGTGACATTAGCGGCAATTATTTAGTGGAAATAAGTTAATTGTTGCTAATGTATTATGTATAGGCCAATGTTAGCAACAATTGAACATTTGCCGAGAATAAACACTTATTACCGGCAATTAAAAAAAATTGCCACTAAAGGTTGCGTCTTTTACTATAACACTAAGAAGTCCAAGAGCGGCATTTTTTTCGTACTCCCTCCAAATTATTTTTCATTTTCCTCCTTCATTTTTGTATTTTTCATCAAGAACCTAGAAGAATGGAAAAATTAAAATCAATTGGAACCCTAACACCCAACATTCATCTCTATGTCTAGTTGGATCGATTACTCTGGTATGTCATCATCAACTTCATTTTCATTTTCTTTTGATTGCTACTAGATAAAGATCCATTATTTTCCTAATAAATTAATAAAGAACATCAAAATAGTTTGAGTCTCTCTTGTTGTTGCATAGTTTTTGTGCTTTTTCTTATTCATCGTCACTCGTTAATGAGATACGAACCACTAGGCACGCTTTTTCCTTTGAAATTGAAGAAGCCAAAAGTTGTGCCTACGAGCTCAAGGTACCTTCTAATCTCTTTATTTTATTTATTCTGATAAATTGCAAGTATCTATTAGGGATTTTTTTCAAAATTTTTTTTGCATCAGGTGCTTTGTGAACTATTATTAATTTCTGGAGTATTTATTTTTATTTTATTTTATAGTCATGTTCTTTTGGCCATTGAAATTATTTGTATCCAGAGAATGAAATTTACTCTCTGAATACAGTAGATCTGAACAATAAAAACAAATCTTGAGAAACTATAGGTAAAAAAAGTAGTAAGAAAGAAATCTTCAAAATGTTTGTGGATACAAAGAACTTTGGATATGTAGTTGCTCTGAATAGTCCAAATTTAATTGTTTCTAACTAAATATATAGATAAAAGAAATGAGAAAAGATAAATAAGTTATTTTAATCCGATAAGTACCGAAAGAATCGAATACGCAGACCAAAAAGCTAGTGTTGATCCCTTAAATAATATTACTCTACCCATGTGAATCGGGCTATAATTTTCAATTTGCTCTTTTGATGAATTACCTATTAAAACTCTTTCTTCAAACAAGGTGTTATTGGATAGTTTTATATGAATTCTTTATATTAGGGGATAAACAAATGAAAAACCAAAAGGCGTCATGCTTTTATCTATAGCTTATCAAGAGATTTTTGGATAGATGTATTAGCATTATGTTCAATCTTTTTATTACCCCTCTATAATAAATGAATATTCTAGAAGTTAGGTATGCACAAATGTACTTTGTTATAATTGTCTTTCTGAATTATTGTAGCTCTCAAGAGAGTACGGACTGAAAATAGTGAGAATTTTATTATCGTGATCAGTGATATGCTGCTCTGTTTCCCTTGCACAAATAGATCAGAAACTATTACAAGGTACTAGGGAAGCCAAATGTAGTACAGTGCAAAAGCTAAATACTAATCCTATTCTACTAGATTTTTGCTGTACTTGGAAACTTAAAAGATTTATTTTCTATCCACAATGTCGTTGTTGCAGTAGTTGGATAAGTTCCTGCTACTGAGCATTACTTTGTTCATCTTCAATGGGATTAGTTTATTGTAAATTTGTCTTCTTCTACTTCTCTTTAATATTCTTATGTCTACATCATTAAAATGATGTTCGATAGAGGAAAATTAGTTTTTAACATCTAACTTGATATCAACACAGAGTTTGGTGGAGATTTTCTTAAGCCCACATTGGAGACAGGTTTATACATTATAATATGTCTACTTATTTTCTAATATATTGATATATACTAGGTTTTCGAGGCAAAAAGCAGCCATGCACAACTGACATAAACACCATGAATGCTATTTCAAAGTAAAGATTCCTTTTCTTTTTTTCATATTTGAATGTATGTTTCTCATCTCCATTCTGCAACTTGCTATCTCTGCAATATCTATGGTAGTTGTTAGATCCTTATTTTCAGGCATGTTGCTAATTTGTTAGTATAGCAATGTTAATAAATTCTCATAGTTCTAGATTATTTTAAACTTCTAAATGCTTTAATGTGATTGGAGACATGATGTAATATGTTGGTGAATGAAATCTAAGTTGCATATTTTTTCTCTTCTTTTCTTTATTCACTTTCATTTACATTTCATTTGTGCCTTGTTTTTCATTCTATTATTCATTTTTGTCCTACTTGAGTTTGATCAGTAGCATTTGCAGAATTGAGTTTGTCCGGCATTCCCCTAGAGATGTGAACAAACTTTTTGAGTAATTAATTTCAGATAGCTATTCCTCCATCGATCATATATTCGTACATGTGTATTATATTGGATATTGTCCTTTTATCTTCCGGTTTTTGAATTCAATTGCTCGGATTCATTGGTGTATCAAAATATATGGGAATATATATTTTGATTCTAGTTATGAAGATTATGAGATGGTCCAGTACCCAAGGTGAGAAAGATCAAAGGTGCCAAAGCTGCTATTGCTTCTCCTAGTTCGACTCCAATAGATATCAAGTATCAAAGCGGGAAGCATAAAGGGAGTGGACATGCTTCTGATAGAGGACTCTATGAGAAAATCAAAGTTGGATGCACAGATACCTCTGAACCTCATTCAAGTGGTAAAAAGAAAACATATGGGGAAGCTGCTATTAAGGTATATGAGTGCTTTACTTTGCTTCCAACTTTTTATATATTTGATCAGTGTCTATGGTTCTAGTGACATCTTACTTTGCCTTGAAATTAAGAATAATTTCTATTGAAAAAGTAGAAGGTCATTTTTATGTCATCCTTGAATAATTTATATATAATGGGGATCATCTACTACTTCCCTAGTTAACTTTTAAGTAAAACTTGTTTAAATTACTCTTTAATTGTCTCAAAGAAAGAAAGCAAAATTTGATAGTATCTGTACTTGTCTAATATGGCAATATCTTCTGAAAGAAAAGATTTCGAAAGGTCGAATAAGAAAAAGTTGTATATAAACTATCAGTATTTGTTTACCAGCAAGCATAAAAAATTTATACACCAAACATACATCAAGCATTTTATTCTTTTGACTGAACATAAGTAAATTAATAAAGTATAAAAAACCAAGTAATGCCATTTATCTTATAGAATGAACAACTAAAAAACATAATTTAATTATATTGTTAGCATGGTGCAGATTCAGTTTAGATTTTTACCATTTCATATAATTGTAGTGGAATAGCGACACGAGCAAGTGGTCTTGTAAGTCTAAAGTACAAAAGTAAGTAGTTTGTGAAAAATCAAGTTGAAAGAGCTACTTGTCACATAATATAGATTGTTAGGATCCTTGTATATTGACCTTCTGCTATTAATTGAAATTTGTTTTGAGGATTTTATTTATTTTTCCCTTTGTGTTGGCTTAAAATTCTGCATGCATAACATATAAGTGAATGAGGAATATATGCTTTGAAAGTTGACACTACCAAACTCTTCAGTATATGCTTTATTGCAAAATTCCAGAAATTTCTCTGGTAGTGCTTAAAGCAATTTTATGGTTATCAGGTTTAAAGTAGTTGTGCAATTATCACAGTCATAGCTTATCACTACAACAAAAGAAATACTAATTTTATACTTTAATTTGTTTCCTGTAAAGGTACTGCATTATGAAAGGCATATAATTTTGGAGACTAGTGGCGAGGTATATATGGTATGTGAAGCCAGACAACTATTCTTTGAATAGTAAAATAGAGATTAAATAGTTGTTCAGATAATCTGGCATGTGGAAGATTTATCGTGATCAAGAGTTGGAAAGACTTTAATGGCATCATTTATTGTATAGTATTGTAGCAATTTGATAATGCCATTAGTAGACAGCAAATCACACCAGTTATTAAATTCAAATAGTTTACCTTTTTGGATATGTTGTTGATACTTTGAAACTATGGATTAGTATATTTTGTTGTGAATTTAATGAAGTGTATTAAACGTTTTGAAAATGAATCTTATTCTTATTATAATTGAATTTGAATTTGCATAATGTGCATTACAGGTTATGAAAGAAACCTTTCTTAATTCTTACTAGCAATAAGAAAGTTCGTTAAGAAGGTAATTAGATGGATTTTACTGCCTATAACAAAAGCTTTTAAATATATAAACAAAGACCAATTCATAGATAGTTGTAGCGACAATTATATCTATCGCTAAAAGAACACTTTTTACTAGCAATTAAGTAGGTCTTTACCGACAATAACAAAAGCCATAAAATGTATGATGTCGGATATCATAGGGGAGTTTCAGTGACCATTTTAATTACCGATAAATAATTGTCGCTAAAACTCATGTACGTTTAGCGGCAATAAAAGGGATATTTACCAGCACTTTGTGCAATGGCCGCTTAATCCTTTAGCGACGCTGGCAATACCGGCCAAAGTCTAATTGCTGGTAAATGTTTTAACGTCAATTTTTATTGCCACTAAAGAGCATATTAATTGCTGCTAATAGACTTTTTTGTAGTAGTGTACCCATTCACCCCCGATCCCGAATATATAATTGGTTTTGGAATCCGACCTCAATTTGAGGTCTAAATCCCCAAATTTTAATATTCTTAGGTTTTACCCAAAATTTCAATTCCACCATGAAAACCCTAAATTCTAAGATGAAATCTTGTAAAAAGAAGTTAAGGAGTAAAGAAAATGAGTTGGAAATCACTTACTAATATTTTGGAGAAGAAAGATTGTTTGAAAAATCGCCTCTTATGTTTTTAGGGTTTTGAAAAGTAAAAAATAACTGAAATTTCCGTTTAAAAATACCCCTCCCAGACCCTCTCTGCGGACCGCACAAAAAGGATTGCGGCCGCGGAGCTCACCGCGGAGAATGTTGACTGCTATGATATGATTTAGTATTTTAGCCATAACTTTCTCTATAGATATTTAAATTGTGCTTTCTTTACCTTTCTAAAAACTAGACACGAAGGGATACAACTTTCATTTTTAAATCATTTCAAAATTCCTTGTAGATCAAAAGATATAGGCTCCCGAAGTTAGACCAGTGAACCTGCAGATTCTTCCTCACCGCGGACCGCACAAAATCGAGTGCGGCCGCAAAGTCCCTCCACCGCAGACCGCACAAAATCCTTTGCGGCCGCAAAGTCCCTCCACCGCGGACCGTACAAAATCCTTTGCGGCCGCAAAAGGCCCCTCCGCGGTAGCACAAAATCATGCGGACCTCACTGGCGGGTTCAGAGATCTGCAACTTCTCTGAACCTGCAACAACTATGTTTTAAGTCTAAAACATCCTGGACGATACCCGAAACTCAACCGAGCCCTCGGGACTTCAAACCAAATATGCATACTAACTCAAAATATCATATGGACCTACTCGTGCGATCACATCATCAAAATAACATATAAAACAATAAATTAAACCTCAAACTCGATATTTTCATCAAAAACACTCAAAGTTCATAATTCTTCAACCGGAAGTCCAACTCACGTCAAATAAACTTTGTTTTTTTTACCAAATTTCACATTTATGTTTTAAATACTATGACAAGTTTGTACCGGGTTCCGGAACCAGAATACGGGCCTGATACCAATGGTTTCAAATATTAATTCTTTTCTTCATTTCTTAGATAATTCAGTAAAACAATTTATTTCAAAAATTGATTTCTAAGGCTTGGGACCTCGATTTCATTTTCGGGCATACGCCCAAGTCTCATATTTTACTGCGGATCTCCTAGGATCGTCGGAATACAGATCCGGGTCTGTTTGCTCAAAATATTTACCAAAGTCAATCATAATCAAATTTTAACTCTAGAAATATCTATTTCTCATATTTTCACATAGAAGGCTTTTCGGATATAGGTCCGGACCACACACACAGGTCGAGGTAAGGTAAAAAGAGAGGTTTTAAGGCCTCGAGACACTAAATTTACTTGAAACACAAGTGATGACCTTTTGGGTCATCATATTCTCCACCTCTAAAACAACCGTTCGTCCTCGAACGGACATAAGAAGGAAGTACCTGAGTCGGCAAAAAGATGGGGATAACGGCTCCACATATCGGACTCGGACTCCCAGGTCGATGCCTCAACAGGCTGACCTCTCCACTGACCACGAACAGAAGGGAAACTCTTCGATCTCAACTGACGAACCTGCCAGTATAGAATAGCTACCGACTCCTCCTCATATGACAAGTCCTTGTCCAACTGGACAAAGCTGAAATCCAACACGTGGGATGGATCGCCGTGATACTTCCGAAGCATGGACACGTGAAACACTGGATGCACGACTGATAAACTCGACGGCAACACAAGTCTGTAAGCCACCTCTCCCACTTGATCAAGAATCTCAAATGGGCCAATGAACCTAGGGCTAAGCTTGCCCTTCTTTCCAAATCTCATCACGCCCTTCATAGGCGATACCCGGAGCAATACTCGCTCACCGACCATGAATGACGAATCACGAACCTTACAATCGGCATAACTCTTTTGCATGTACTGAGCTGTACGAAGCCTATCCTGAATGATCCTGACCTTGTCCAAGGCATCCTGCACCAGATCCGTACCCAACAACCGAGCCTCTCCCGGTCAAACCATCCAACTGGCGATCGACATTGCGTACCATACAACACCTCATAATGAGCCATCTAGATACTTGATTTGTAGCTGTTGTTGTAGGCAAACTCAGCTAAAGGCAAAAACTGATCCCACTAGCCTCCAAAGTAAATGACACAAGCTCGGAGCATATCATCCAAAATCTGAATAGTGCGCTCGAGCTGCCCGTCTGTATAAGGATGAAATGTTGTGCTCAACTCAACCCGCATGCCCAACTCATGCTGAACTGCTCTCCAGAAATGCGAGGTAAACTGCGTACCTCGATCAGATATGATAGACACGGGCACACCATGAAGACGAACAATCTCCCGGATATAGATCTCAGCTAACCTCTCGGAAGAATAGGAGACTGCCACATGAATGAAGTGTGATAACTTGGTCAGCCTATCAACAATAACCCACACCACATCGAACTTCCTCTGAGTCCGTGGGAGTCCAACAACGAAGTCCATAGTGATACGCTCCCACTTCCACTAAGGGATCTCAATCTTCTGGAATAGACCACCAGGTCTTTGATGCTCGTACTTAACCTGCTGACAATTCAAACACCGAGCCACGTATGCAACAATATCCTTCTTCATCCTCCTCCACCAATAATGCTGCCGCAAATCCTGATACATCTTCGCGGCACTCGGATGAATAGAGTACCGGGAACTATGGGCCTCCTCTGAAATCAACTCTTGGAGACCATCCACATTAGGCACACAAACTCGACCCTGCACCCTCAAAACTCCATCATCTCCTAAGGTAACCTGCTTGGCACCTCCGTGCTACACCGTGTCCCTAAGGACACACAAATGAGGATGATCATACTGCCGATCTCGGATACGCTCCAATAATGAAGAACGAGCAACTATGCGAGCTAACACACGGCTGGGCTTAGAAACATCCAACCTTACGACTGATTGGCTAAAGCTTGAATATTCAAAGCAAGCGGTCTCTCACCGACCAGAATATACGCGAGACTGCCCATACTGGATGACTTCCTACTCAAAGCATCGGCCACCACGTTGGCCTTTCCCAGGTGATATAAGATGGTGTATCATAGTCATTTAATAGCTCCAACCACCTTCTCTGCCTCAAATTTAGCTCTTTCTACTTGAACAAATACTGTAGACTTTTGTGATCCGTGAACACCTCATATGCCACGCCATACAAATAATGCCTCCAAATCTTCAATGCGTGAACAATGGATGCTAATTCCAAATCATGAACCGGATAGTTTTTCTCATGAATCTTCAACTGACGCGAAGCATAGGCAATGACCTTGCCATCCTGCATCAACACCGCACCAAGTCCAATACGAGATGCATAATAATAAGCTGTATAAGGCCCTGAACCCGTGGGCAAAACCAACACCGACGCCGTAGTCAAAGCTGTCTTGAGCTTTTGAAAGCTCGCCTCACACTCGTCCAGCCATCTAAACTGGGTAACCTTCTGGGTCAACCTGGTCATCGAGGCTGCAATAGATGAAAACCCCTCCACAAATTGACGATAATAGCTTGCCAATCCCAAGAAACTCCGGATCTCTGTAGTTGATGCGGGTCTAGGCCAGTCTTTGATTGCCTCTATCTTCTTTGGATCTACCTGAATACCCTCTGCTGAAACAACATGACCCAAGAAAGAAACTGAACTCAACCAGAACTTACACTTCGAAAACTTATCATACAACTGACTATCTCTCAAAGTCTGAACAACCACTCTTAGATGCTGCTCGTGCTCCTCCCGGCTGCGGGAATAGATCAAAATATCGTCAATGAAGACTATCACGAACGAATCCAAGTAAGGCCTGAATACTCGGTTCATCAAATCCATGAAAGTTGTTGGGGCATTTGTCAACCCGAATGACATCACCAAGAACTTTTAATGCCCGTATTGAGTGCGGAAAACTGTCTTAGGGACATCAGGTGCCTTATTCCTCAACTGATGGTAGCCAGATCTCAAGTCAATCTTGGAAAACACTTTGGCACCCTAAAGCTGGTCAAACAAATCATCAATCATCGGCAATGGATACTTATTCTTGATTGTAACCTTGTTCAACTTTCGGTAATCTATACACATTCGCATCGATCCATCCTTCTTCTTAACAAATAACACCGGCGCACCCCAAGGCGAGACACTAGGTCCAATGAAGCCTTTTTCAAGCAAGTCATGCAACTGCTCCTTTAACTCTTTCAATTCAGGTGGGGCCATACGATACGGCGGGATAGAATGGGCTGGGTTCCCGGAGCCAAATCAATGTAGAAGTCAATATCCCTGTCGGGTGGCATACCTGGCAAGTCTGAAGGAAATACCTCAGGAAACTCATGAACAACAGGCACAGAATCAATAGAAGGAACATCGACACTAGGATCACG